TCACTGCTTTCATTCGTCGATCGTCTTATACTGCCGTTGATCATTGCTGACCGTCGTCTACTGCCGTCGATCATTGCCGACCTTTGTCGACCACCACCGACCCTCGTCAACCACCGCCGACCTCTGTCGATCACCGTCGGCCATCGTCGACCACCGTCGATAACTGTTGACCTTCGTCGTCTGTCGTCTACTGTCGTTGACCACCGACTGTCATCGATTATCGTTGACTACACTTCGATCATTGCCGACCTCCGCCAACCACCCCTGACTAGACGCCGTCAGTCGACGTTATTATTTGGAAAGCTAGTAATATTTTCCCATTTGTGGGACAAGAGGTTTCTGTAACGATCAATCAATAGTAAATTTTTGCAATTGGGCCAGACCCCTTGATTTTTCCCCTTTCCGGGTTTTCAACGTAAAACTTTATGTAGTCATTACTGCTTGTTTTTTTTTCATCTGTGTGTGTGCTGAATTCTCGTACAACGCCTTGGAAAGCTAGTAACATTTTCCCATTTGTGGGACAAGGGGTTTCTGTAACGATCAGTCAATAGTAAATTTTCGCAATTGGGCTAGACCCCTTGATTTTTCCCCTTTTCGGGTTTTCCACGTAAAACTTTATGGAGTCATTACTGCTTGTTTTTCTTTCATCTGTGTGTGTGCTGAATTCTCGTACAACGCTAAGCCGATAATCCGTTACTCTACCGCCGTAGATTTTCCAGCACACATCAAGCAATATTTTTTTCTGCCTAGGAGAACTTCAAATGGCTAGTCTGAATTTCTACATGTATCAAAGGCCATCATGGATATGCGGTGTCATTTCTAAACATTTTGTATTTGTTTTGTTTTATTTTATTTCATGGCAATGGTATTGGTTGTGCCCTTTTCCATGGCATTAAATTTATAATCTATTTGCATTTTTTGAGCTGTATTTTTGTTAGTGAACTTAGCAGTTAAACGGTTCATTTTACACGTACAATATAGATGCATTTGTTCCCACTAGGCTTATTTGAAAATAGGGAAATTTATATATGTAGCATAAAATTCTTATGTATTTACACATCTCACATCTAAACTTTCATATTTAAATCTATGCATGAAAAAGTGTATTTTACTTTCAAATAGTGGCAATAATATTTTTTTGTCTGATATTAAAGATTTGAGTGTTATGTGTTTAATTATGAAAGCTTAGGTCTGAGTTATGTAAAAACAGTAGAATTATGTGCTACGTATGTAAATAACCCTTAATTATTGATTATAATGTAATCAGTTACATGTACTACGATAAATGAGGACTGATGCATAGTTTAATGATTTTAGTGAATTTTTAGGATTAACAATTATGGCAGTTTGCACCTATCTGAATGTCATACCATTATTCTTTAAGGTGCGGAAATATTTATTTATGCAAGGTCGTTTTACTTTTTAGATTTTCAGAGTTGCGCCATTAGATCATAATAGCATGTAAATTAAAGCGCAGTAGACCTTCCAGTGAACTATTTTTATTATTTCGGGGCCTTTTGGTATCAATTTTGTTTTATTTATGTTTTGATTTGAAACAAAGTATAGTTGATATAGTTGATATAGTTGATTACGATATGTTTGTTTTTAAAATATTCAAAACACTTGAAGGTTATTTGTATGTATTAAAAAACATGTTATATATTTTTAGAAAAAAAATAAAAAAATGTAAACAACACACTAAATAAACTTATTTTTAACATGAAAAGGAAAAAAAAGATCTCAAACAAGCCTTCAGTATACATATTTTTTAATTTGCTTTATTTATGAATTCATTGTAATATTTATTGAGTTTATGGCATTTTTAGATATGCTAACTTTCATCATGTTCTGTTTAGTTCTTTTTGTACTCACACTGCTTTTGTAATTTTATATATTTATCAGATATGCTTGTGGTGTTGGCATTTCATAATTCAAACAGCTGCAAAGGATTGTATTGATGCACGGTGCCCCGCATGCGATAAACCCTATGACAAAGAGAAGATTTTGAAGAGGACAATCAACAAAGAAAGGCATGTATTCAATACAGAATGTTTCCATACTATCTTTTTAGTTAACCAAACCACCAAAAAATATGGGATTTTGAAAATTATTTTTACTTTAAATAAAATTCTATTGAAATATGTTCCAATTAAGTATTTTATTTTTCAACTATTTTTTATAATGTCTCATTGACAATCAGACTAGAGATCTTAAATGCTAACAAGAAGCATAAGCTGCAAAAGACTAAGCAAAGACTGACAGATATAGGGAGTGATCTCAATAGCATTCGTGTGATAAGGAGAAACATTGTTTATATTGCCGGGTTTCCTAAAAAAATATCTAATGAGAAGGTTTGCATGCCTTATCTTGCTTTTCTTACGTTCAAGTTTTTTTAATTTGATTTTGAGCTTGTTGCTCATCTTGTGTTTATATGTTCAGGCCAGGCATTCGAAGTTTACTGTTAAAGATCTTTTGAAGTAATTTGTTTGGATAAAACATATTTGAATATTCGTCTGGAATCATGATTTGTTCTTTGCAGACTCTTAGGAAGAAGGAATATCTGGGACAATATGGAAAAATTGTTAAGATTTTTATTGCGCAAACGGACATATCCCGTCAGAATTATTCATCGGATTCCTGCATAGTGTAAGCATATTCTTTGAAAGAGAAAGGAGAAAATTTGTTAGGAACATCAGAATGCTTTTCTTGAGGCTAAAAAAGCAATATACTATTTTTCTTGGAGCTCTGTAATTATGTCTTACTTTTCTTACGCTTGATGCTTTGTTTAATAATGAAATAATAATTATTTTCTTCTGTTCCAAAGTTTGTACAGCTCAATAAGATACCTGCATATTCACTAACAATGCAGAAAATAAATATACTGACCTGCAACTTAGTGCATCTTCTATTTATCTTTCTTACAATCTTTTTATACAGAAAATAAATATTCTGTTGTATTTGCTCTGGGTAGTCTTATCCAGATTACTACTAATCGTTTTTGATGTTATGCTTAATTTTTTTACACCTGTGACAAAGTTACCTCTTGTTTTCTTTGTAGATCCGAAGTCTAGCAAGGCTGCAGTAATACGAATTATCGTTCTATATTTTAATAAAAAAAGGCTCATTTACATCCATGCACAATTCCTATGAATTTACATATCTAACACTAAACTTTATTATTTACCTTTATAACACCCAAATCTTCAATATCACATAAATGATAACTTTTTTAACTTTTTAAAGGTGAATACAACTTTTCATGCACTGGAAATGTGGTATATATGTAAAAATTTAAGTTCAGGTGTCTGTCGGATGGGTAAATACATAACTATTGAGTGGTATGTATGTAAATCGTCATAAAAAATAATTAGAATTATTTTGAAGAAACCAAGTAAATTTACTGGCAGAAATAAGGGCTTCTTTGCCTGCTTTTAGTTTGTAGTATTTTTCTTTGTTATTTAGCCCACTGATCTCATTTTTCGCATCTGTGAATTTGATTGAGATGGGGGCGATGAGCAGATCTGTGTGTGGGTGATGTGTCGCACATTAGGGAAGAGGGAGGGAACTGTGGATGATGACTGGTTTGGTGATTGAAGAGATGTCACCACAACTGATGTTGTCAAACTAATAAAAGATTTAGATTTAGTTGCATAAGGATACAAGTGTAATTTACCAATTTGTTATCTAAATAACTGAACAATTGACACAACAATGCATTATCAGTGAATCGAACATCCCCTTTAGGCTAATGCCTCATTTTTTCGAAGTATATGTCGTGAGACCTGCCTTTAGTTGGCTTGGCTAGTCTTTTTTTATTTTTTAATGCACTTGTTGCCTGAGTTCTATAGATAGATGTGTGAACTTTAGTTACTTATTCTTGTTAAACTTGGCTTTCAATGATTGTTGGCCTTGACCTGCATCCCTTTTCAGTTCATATTTCTTCCACTGTTGATCTGTATATATGATTTTGGCTGATTGATGCGTAAAGATTTTCTAATTTAGTCTTTTCTTAATTTTATTGGTGAAAATTGGTCTTCTTTTTTGCTAACCTTAGGGGGTGTTTAGATTTAACGTTATTAAGATTTGGTAAATCCAGATTTGTTAAATCCACCTCCTTGTTGGATTTACTAAATCCAGATTTAACAAGAATCAAATGCAAAATCAAATCCAACATTTCATAAATCTAGGGAACTTGCATTTTCTTATATTTGGCTGGATTTAGTAAAGTAAACTAACAAATCCTGTTAATAGGGCGCTACCAAACACCCCCTTAGAGCAGTTTTATTGATACCAGAGGAGAAATGCCCAATCACAAAATTCAAATTTTATTAATAGGAAATGAGGGTTACAACACACACAAACTTGAAATAACATCACCAAAACACAAAGGACACAAACAAACACCTTGAGAGTGTATCCCAAGGGTGGTGGAGGTTGGTTGGAAGGTGAGGTAACAAGACGGGAAGGAGCTGTGGGACAACAGTTGGGACGGCTGGCTGCTAGGAAAAGTAGAGGGACAAAAGCGGGACAGTATCCCAAGGGTGGTGGAGGTTGGTTGGAAGGTGGGGTAACAAGACGAGAAGGAGCTGTGGGACAACAGTTGGGACGGTTGGCTGCTAGGAAAAGTAGAGGGACAAAAGCGGGACAGCGAGGGAATTAGGCTTGGAACGTACGACAGGGTGGTTGGATGTGGCAAGGAGGCTGGCGGCTAGGAAGTATGGGGGGGAAAGAGTTGGACAGCAAGTTGCTGGGGCAGAAACAAGGATGACATGACGAAGTAGAGAAGATAAAAGGGGAGATACAATCACCACCTTGGAACAAGATACAACCGTAGCACCACCAACTCCTCAGATACAATTCTAGAGGGAAAATGATTCCACGCAAGAAATCTGAAATCAACTCACAACAAAAAACTCCCTAAATTTTTAGCAAACCAACATACATATTGCCCTGGCTATGCGGGAAACAAGAAAGGAAAGGAGAGGAGAAAGGAAAGAGGAAGAAAAGGAAACTCCTACAAAAGAAAGGGGTAAGAATACTCAGAATAGCTATTAAAATGCTTTCATATGAGAAGAAGCAGAAAAGGAAGCGAAAGAGAAGACGAGAGGTCACTCGACCCATCAGAAGCATTAGTAGGGCCACTCAGCCCAGGATCAACCTGGACTGGCCCCCAATTGGATCGGTCGGGCTGGTCCAATTGGGGGCAGCTCGACCCATCAGAAGCATCATGTCGGCACTATTTTTGGTGTGGGGTTTGCCCGTAAGAAGCTGTCGGTCATCGGAATTGAAATCCCGTTGCCCGCTTCGAAAGGACATTTTAAAAACCCATGCTGGATTGTTTTGCACCCGTGTCAGTCTTCTGGTGTTGGGAAGCTTAGACCTCATTCATTGAAGCTTTTGTTATCACATGGATGGTGTGGGAGCTGCTGTAATCTCTTGAGGCGGATGGATCGTTGACTGTAGTTCTAGTAGGTTGATCCCATAGACATTTTTGTTCAAAAGCACATTCTGATAGAATAGGTATGCATTCTCTTTTGGCATATTCTGAGCAGGAGTAGAATATAGATGAGGATTCTCGCAATGCAACACTTGTGCCCTTACATTTGAAATCTTTTGTTTCCACTTCTCGTGCCTAGTGTGCGGTGGTTGAGTAACAATATTGTGAGGAGAACTTGATTCGAGGAGGAAATTTGTGGAAGACTGTGCCACTCTCAATATCAACCACTCAGGAGGGACATCTTCTTGAGTGACAGAGCCTGGATTCCATTGAAGCGTTTTTGTCCCTATCAAATTCCTTGGGCCCACTACCAGGGGGTCATTTCTCCCGTATGGACATCTAACGAGGTGTCCCATGCTGACTTGAATGTAACCTCTGAATAACTCCATGTGATGTCCTCAACGTGGCACCTAATGACCTCAATTCTGACATGTAGAACCTCCCTTTGTTTGGGCAACTCAGGAGGGGGGCTATAAATTTGAAATATCTGCAAAGCTCTAATCTGTGATGGCCCTGTATCTGTGGTCGGCTCCTCAAACTCATGCCCTTTTTGGACATCTCAAGTCAGCTCTGCTGGTTTTCCTTTTACCGCTTCTGAAATAGTAGCTCGGGGTACCATCCTTTCATATTCTGCATGAATACCGATTATATCAAGGTCACTATTTTCTCGAACGACTACCGTTACCTCAGCTGAAATCTTTCTCTCGGGGTCCATGGGTGGCATCTCTTTCTGGTTAGCTATAAGTGGAGAATCCTCCTGAAAGTTTTCAACTTCTCCTGTATCAACAGTTTCATTGATCAATTTTTCAACAACACCATACTTAGTGAAATAGATCTCTCTCTTGGTGGTGCGTTCTGATTCCACATGCCCAAATCCATGACATTTACACACTTCCTGGCTGTGACATATTTAGGGATGCAACATGGTCTCCCATGTTCTCTACTCTGAATCAGTTTTTTCTTTCGACGGGGTCATTTTGGATGTTTTTCTGAGTGCACTTTGGCTATAAGATCTTGAGGTTGATCCCTATCTGTAAGATGTGAGGGTCGGTGATACACCTAAAATATATAGTGTTTTTATACACATTTTTATACTTATTTTGAGATATTGCGTTTTAATAAAAGGTATTTGTGTGTTTTTTTTCAGGTACAATCAAATGGATGGAAAAATCTAAAAAGAGTGAAAAAGGTCAAATTTGAAGCAAAAATGAAAGAATATGCCAAAATGAACTGGGGGCACCTAAGGCCCTAAGACTGACGCATAAGCGCCAGAAGTCTCGCGTCTAAGCTCCAAGTACCCCGCGCTTAAGCGTCAGAAGTAATTATGAGATGAATTATTTAATTTGAACGGATTTTTGATGAAGTATTTGAAACAACTATTGCTAAAAATGTGTGAAATAGCCCTTGGACACGAAAATTTATTCATTTGGCTTTTAAGGAGACAACTTCTAGAAGATTAATTGAATGGAGAAATCTTTTTGAAGAGACACCAAAACACCCCTTTGATTTTGATAAGAAAAGATTTAGATTTTCCAAGAGAGGAGGCCACCAACCCATCAACTTTACAACCATCATCCATCTAAGTTAGCCGCCGTCGCCGCTGCGTATCGCCGCCACCACTTTTCTTTTTATTTTGAGTTTTAGTTTGTATTGTGAGTGAAGGAAGAAAATTCAAAGGAACTTCAAAACATTTGGTGGAGAAGATTTAAGATAAGTATTTATCTTTGTGACTACACTTGGTTTTAATTTAGATTTTTTGTTTGTGTGCATGATTTCTACTTAAACTCATTTGTGGTTGTGTTTTCTCTATGTTCTATGGATTTTGAGTAGTTTTCTTTATCTTTTTCTTTAAAA